ACAGGAGAAACTCCCTTTAACCTCACCTACGGCACTGAAGCGGTAATCCCAGCGGAGATCGAAATACCTACACTACGACTAGAAGCATACGACGATCAAACAAACGGAGATGAGTTGCGTACCAACCTTGACCTACTGGACGAGGTAAGAGACCTCGCATACATCCGAACCACAGCTTACCAGCAAAAGGTAGCTCGGTACTACAACGCCAGAGTAAAAAAGTGGAACTTCCGCGTCGGCAACCTGGTTCTCCGTAAGATCATGGCACCCGAGCCCGGTGTGGGCAAACTCGGACCGAATTGGGAAGGGCCCTACCGAGTAAAGAGAGTGCTCGGGGGGGCATACGAGCTCGAAACTTTAGAGGGCAAACAAGTACCCCGAGCTTGGAACGTCGTTAACTTGAGACGATATTACCTATAGATCACCAAGCGAAGTGGATTAAGTCACTACTAGAGCCAAAGGGCTAGAACGTCGAATTAACAAGGACCTCGGCATGGATAAGCAAAGGCAAAAGATGCAAACTAAAATCTCAGGCAAAGTGCCAACAATGAACTAATAGGGGCATCGACATATGGTCAGTTCGGCAATACGGCCAGTTCGGAGGAAAGAGCAACCAACACTTAATCAAAAGAAAATCATTCCATTACAAAATACTTTGTGTACATTTCAAAAAAAAATATATATATATATATACATATACATTTCACAGGCCCGGAGCCACTTCTTCATCATCAAAAGGCACTTCAACGATACCCGAAGGTCCTGCCTCGCCCTCGGAATCCGGCTCACCGTCAGCGGCGTCGGCCATCTCCTAAGTAATGCGCGAAGTGGATATGGCACTAATATCGAGCTCGGGGTACGTATTCCGGATCATCCACCGGCTTAGTTTAAAGCCCCTTCTGTACGAGTCCACCATCAGGTCATCAAAGCTCGACGAGGCGATGTATTCATCGACGGCCTTCTTCTTGGCATCTTCAATACCTTGAGAAAAGATCTGTGTCCTCTCAATAATATCCTCCTGAAGGTATTCAACCTGATGCTGCAAATCCAGCCTCAGGTCCGCCATGTGCTTCACTACAACTCCCATGGCCTCGGCATCTCTCTGAGACCTCGCCTGCCTGGCCTGTGTAGCGCGAGAAGCTGCCTCAGCAGCTCGGGAAGCCGCCTCAGTAGCATGGAAAGCCTCGAGCTCCTTTCCACTTGGGCCGCCAAGGCATGGATAGAAGAATTCACCTACCAAAAGGAAAGAACAAATGATCAAAAGAACAACAAAAAAGATGAAAACAAAGAGCCCGACAAGAAATTTGACTTACCACCATGGCATGAGTGGCAGCACGACAAGCTACCTGGTTCAAAGGAAGCTCGGTCCATGCCGCGACCTCCTCAGGATAGATGGCCTCCCTACTCTTCTGAAGAGCGTGGTTCGAAGACAACACGCTCCTGAACTCGCCTTGGGCTCTCGAGCCTGAGGGCCCAGCTCGCATATAAGCTGGCTCAGAGTAAGCAGGAGCCCCCATGTAAGTAGCCTCGGCATAAGGGGCCCCTGCCGCTTCATGTACTGGAGGGGCCATCTCGGGCTCCCTGGGCGGATCCACTGATGGGTAGTCTGGTACCTCGGGCTCTGCATCTCGGGGCAGCTCGGCACGAGTTCGTTTGCGACTCGCTTCCTCCTCTTCATGCCGTGAAACAGGTGCCCACCACGAGTCTTCTCTGAGTTCATCACACCTGCAAAAAGAGCTTGGCATCAGAAAAGAAAAAAAACGAAAGAACAGAGCAAAACAAAAGACAAACCTCTGAGTAAGGAACCTACCCGAACTCAGACCAGCCTCAATGAGCTTGGCCTCCGTCAGATAATGATGGCATTTTAGCTCCGGAGGCCCTTCGCCGTCTCCTTATCAAGCGTAACACCAGCGTCAGGGGCAGCCATCCCCCACCCGGTTTGGAACGGCCACCCCAGTGCACTTCGCACCCCGAAGTAGTCCCGTTTCCATGTTGGGACCTTGTTGGGAAGTTCGTGTAGAAACTTAAAACCCGGGCGAGGAGACAGGTAATACGCCCGCCTACGCCCGAGAAGGGGACCCACTTGTTTCTTAAGCATTAAAATGGAGGAGAAGATCTCCAGGTCTAAAGGCAAGACCTGTTCGCAAAATAGGGAGATTGTCCCCACCAAGTTACGAATGGAGTTCGGGTGAAGCTGGCCGACAGTAACGCCGAAGTGGTTCATTACCTCGACAAAGAGGGGGTGGAAAGGAAGGTGCAACCCAGCAACGAGCTGCTCTCGGAATATCACGATCTCATCAGGACCGTGTTCCCAAGGGAAAATGCCCGAGGGTATGAAGTAGGTGTACTCCCTAGGCAAGTTGAACTAGGTAATAAGGGAATGAAGCCCCTCAAGCGTCATGGTCGAAGGCCCAAACTTGTCCAACGTCCGACCTCGACGAGAGGAGGACGCCAAACTACCCGAGGCGACTCGGCCTACGGGTTTGAACTCTTCCTCGAGTTCTACCTCAGATTCACTAAGACTGTCGGGGGATGCAACTCGGTTCATAGAACCTGCATCCGACCCCCTTGAAGAACTGTCTGAGCTATCCGAGCTAGACATTGGAAGGAGAATAAGGATTACAAGAAAGTACTCACCCGGAAAAAAGCAAATGGACTACGGGAATGTGAACGCGAGCTAGAGGCTTAGACGCGAGCTGAAACTGGGATGCGTGCTCAAGAAGGAAAACGCAAGACAATGACAGCGACTGGGGTCCCCCACTATTTATACCCACAATAACCGAGAATCAACGGCTCAGATCAAAGACAATCCAATGGCCCGCAGTCGCGCTGACCACACATCTCAAATACCGAGACGTGACTGGCCGCACGTCTCCTGAGACCGAGACGTGATTGGCCGCATGTCTTTCCGAAACTGCAAGAACGCCAGCGCACGTCTCCTCGCATTAAAGGCGGTAGCAGCGCGTTTTTTCAAATTTGAAAAGACGCTCGTTGTCACATCTTCTAGCGGCGCACTTTTTGAATTTTGAAATAAGCGCGCGCCGTCACATCTGTCAGCATTTTTAGACAGATTGGCGCGTTTCCTGTCTTTTTGGCGCTCGAGAAACCCAAAAAAATCCTGACGAACGCGCACTTCGTGCTATTAGTCAAAACCAGTTCGAAGTACGGGACAAATCCACTCGCCACCTCGCCAACTCCTCGCGCCAGGGAAAGTTCCTTAGCACGAGGAGTGGGGGGCAATTGATGAAGGAAGATTTGGCCCGACCTCGTAATCACTCAACACATGGCAAAGACAACAGCACGACCAAGGCGCGAGCTCCAAAAGGAGGAACCAGCGGTCCGAACCCCCTACAAGGAGCCCGAACTCCCCACAAGGAGCCCGAGCTCTCCCTTAGGCCCTGAGCCTTACAAATACATGGGGCAACAACCCGAACTGGCCTGCCCCATGGCCGTTCGGGACACTCCTCTATCCGAACTCAAGACTTCACCTCGCTCACCACTCCAGCGCTTCGCCTCCAGGACGCCGAACTGAACAACCGTACCATGCGTGACACTGAGGAAGTCCGTATCCAGGGGCGGCGCACCTAACTGACTTGGGATCTGACGCTTGACAGCCGCACTTCAACGGCCACTTGCCACCGCCACCTACCACCGCCATCTCCAGTTGCAAAGACGGCTCCGAGCAGTGGCGGTTCTGCCCCAGCAGAGGTGATGACATTCGAACTGGCAGGAGCACAGAGATAATCATACCCGACCAGACAGAAGTTTAGGAGTGAGTGCGCGAAGTGGTTATAAAAAGCTCCCTACCCCCCAAGAACAAGGTATGTGAACTTTGCGCCATCTGGCTTTATCTTGCCTTTGAGAGAATACTAACTTGAGTTTCGGAGCAATCTCACCGGGTTCTTTCCCGGAGATTCCCCACCTTCTTCTCCGTTTCAGGCCCCCTGTTGCTCCAGTCAGAGGCAAGATCGTTGACAGCTAGGACCGGCCGGATTGCGCACCATCAGCACCCGTGCTTAAGAGATTTAAAAAAATCATGATGAATTTAAGAAAAGTCATGATGAATTTTAAATAATAACCCTTTTTTATATTACATATTACACGAGGAAGGGATGGCCCTAGAATAAAGCAGGGTGCATGATATCCATTGACCTTACCACGGAAATCCCACATTACGTGGATTTGATCCCACACCTCTTTGTTCAGGGACATTTATTGATAATGATGGGCATGTTAGATGGGGTTCTAGTGTTTAAACATAGAAAAACTCGTGTTATATTGTTTTACGTGGATTCAAAATTTAACTATATTGTATTAGAGAACTCATCATTATACTTCACACAAACAAATTTAGAGAATAAAATCTAAAGCAACACTAAATCAGAATTTACGCTCAGCATATTTGGACTCCAATACATTTACACCAATGCAAATGAAATTTACACTGAAACTTCAGAATTCTGCATGATCATGCACACAAGATGTTGTGTCAAGGCTCTTCAATTAGGCCCAATTGATTCAATTGGCTAATCACCCACCATACAGAGAGATTTTGTTCCCAACCATGAATTGCTGTATCATGGTAAAACTGCTTAACCTAACAAAAAATTGACAGAAAACTATGGCCCACCGAATTGAAATCAATCCACATCAATTTACCAAATACCTAAAATCGAATTCAACGACAAAAGTAGTGGCAATAATCCATACCCTTTCTTACGTATGCCCAGGAAGATTGCCATAGAACTTGTTTGTAATTTGTAATTAATTAGGTTATGTTTGGTTTGAAGGAAAAAGGTAGGAAAAAGAAGGGAAAGACAGAGAAACTTATACAAGGTTTATAAGCCTATCTTTCCTTTCGTTTTCTTTCTCTACCTTTTCCTGCAAATAATAAAAGGTGAGTACAAAATGAGCGCAAATTTATTGCACCATTCTTAATTTCGTCCGAGTTTTGAACGAGATTTTAGATCTAACCAGACGGAGTCCATAAGAAAGAAAAAGATCGAGCAATAAACGCATAGGTATCTTTCTCTACCAGACCAAAGAACTAAAAAGCTTGCAGTTGCAGAATAGATAGAATTGGCACAATTTTTTTAACATTACATTGTTGCGATCTTTCTCTCTCTATTGTACAATGAATTCTATACAAGAGCAAGACAAATAATTTCAGAATCCCCTGACTGAACTCTGCCAAACCTCAACAGATTGTTGATCCTTCCTTGTAACAACCATCCTGTTACCCCCAAATGCGAGGTTTGTTATCTTACATCCTCCCACGTCCTTGACTCTACCCATTAAATTTCTCCTGAAAACTCTCCCCCTCAACCCATCTTCACTACTTGTTGGAGAACCCATTAGAACCTCTGACCAGAGCTCTACATCCCCTCCTTTACTGCAAAATACCTGATTTCCATGGCTTTCAATCTTACAGCCAAAACCTTCTTTCTTCCCACTGTTCCCCTTTCTTGCATCACCAAGGCAAACCCATGGATTATCGGCATTAAGCTTCCTCATGTCTGCAAAGAACACCTCGCCGGAATTCACACCGACCTTAAAAATTGCAGAGAGAGCATCCGAGACCGTTACATCAGAAAAACAGTCCATCTTCTCCTTCAGTTCCCAAACAACATTGCCGGACCTGATATCCCACAATCTGATGTTACCCAACACCCCAGAAGGCCCTCCATGAGATCCCGATGCCATAAGCATATTGAGACTCGAAACCCACCTCAGTTTGGTCGCCGGGATCGCGGAGTCGATTTCAGCACCATAGATTTCGCAGCGGGCAATTTCCACGACAGGACAAAAACTCCCATGTATATCAAAAACCATGATGGAACTCGAGTTTCGACGGCCGGACTCGAAGCTTGTAAATAAAAAATCGGGAGAAGAACCAATAGCCTGAACCGTGGAACTGGACATGGTCGAATTCTCCCAATTTAAGGTTTCTCTAATAAAACCCCTGTCAAGGTCCAGAATCTGCAGGCCTGAGAAGTCGGTGGCACCGGCCGCGGCGACAGACTGCGAAAGCGCAAGGAGGGAGTCGATAGCGGTGAACTGTGTAAGGATCGTGGATTTCCGACGGAGTGACCAGTCAAATGACGTGATTTTGCTACCGTGAGATACGTGAACGGATCCATAAGGGGTGGTAGAGATGGCAGAGGGGGAATCCCTACCATTGAGAGGCAAAATCAGTGATTTTTCGAGATTGAAGGCTTCGAATTGAGAGGGATTGGATTGAGAGGACACAAGGAGGCTCTCGAGGCCGTAGAATTGGGCTTCAAAGATGAGGTCCTGAAGATCAAAAGCCTTGGCTTTGGAAGGGAGATTACCAGTCCTGAGAAGGGAGAGAAGGATGGAAAAGATCTCAGGGTCTCTGTCTATGAAAGGAACATCCGGCCGAGAAAGAGATGAGGGATTGGAAAGCTTCGAGAGGAGTGAACCGGAACCAGCTTGGGCCAGGGTTTGTTTGGTGGTCTGGAAGAGTTGCCCACCGACATCAATGGTGATGATACTCGATTCTGGTTTCTTCTGGATGAACACATTCGACGAAGGAAGGATGTCGTCTACAAAAGGAGGCATCCCTAACTAAGCACCGAAAAAGGAAAACCCCCTCCGATGAAAAGAAAAACGGAAAGCCGTCGAGAAAGCAAAGGGATGCGTTTTTTCAGGAGCTTCTCGCCAGTAACTCGTCACCGATCACCGACGGGCCGCGATCTCCGAATTTGTGGTTGTCTCTGTTGTTTTTAAGTAAAACTAGGACAGGCTCCGATCTTGAAGCTGAAGGTTGGTTGAGATCGGGTGGGGGTGGGGGAAAGGTCTTCTAGAAGGTCAAAGTTTTGTGGTCATCTAAAGGTCAAAGAAAATTGTGAAGCCTGGTTTCCCAGCGCCGCCCGATCTGGACCAGTTGGAACACAAACAAACGACACTATTTTCGATTTTCGTCATGTGTTAAGAATGTCTCGTTGTGCACGTATGCCCTGAGTTCACATCTGCGCCCGCCCCACTGCATGCCGACCATGTATTTGGAATATCTCCCGATGACAAAGTATGGGAGATGTTCCCAATGCACGCTCACGCTGAAAGGGGCGCATGTGGGTCGCTCATGTGATCTTGTATGGTCTTGGGGTGTGTTTGTCTGATGGGTCACTCATTTTTGCTTAATCGCTTGTACGGTTTGTATCTGTTTGCCTATAAGCAGATTTCTTGAGTCCCAAGGCTATTTCTTGATTAATACTTAGGGTTCGTTTGGTTTGTAGTTGGAATCGGAATCGAAATCAGAATGACCCATTCTTATAGTCTGTTTGGTTCAGACAGGAATGGGATTTCATTCCCAAGGGAGGGGCAAGGAATGACCATTCCCTCAAATGGAGAATGCCATTCCAGCAGGAATGGGAATGGGATTCCAATTCTGCCCAATCAAACAGTTGGAATCGGAACGGGCTATTTCGATTTAGATTCCATACCCCTATTCCCACAAACCAAACAGGGTCTTAGTTTTCACATGAGATGTGGGAAGTTTAGGGCACCTGATCCACCCCGATCTTAAGACCCATTTATCAAAACTATATAGGGTTTGGGTTTTGGCCACATGTAGGGGTGGCCACAATCCGAGCTATTCACAAGCTGTCGAGCTCGGCTGGTATCAATCGAGCTTCGAGCCCAATTTATAGGCTCGATTAATAAATGAGCCGAGCTCGAACAACTCGTGAAAATAATATATATAATAAAAATATTATAATTCTTAATTTTTTAATATCAAATAAAAAATATTTTTATATATAATTTTTTTATTTTTATAAAACATTTTTTTTTGAAATTGAACTCGAGCCAAACCGATCTCGAGCTTATGAGTTTTTGGCTCAAGCCGAGCTCGAGCTCAAGCCTTATACAACAGTGGCGAGCCGAGCTCGAGCCCCATATTATTCGGCTCGACTCGGCTCTAATCCACCCCTAGCCACAGGGTATCTGGTATCCAAATCTAATTATAAACTTCATATATATTATTAAATATGTTTTATAAGAAATAATATGGATAGTAAAGAGGATGGAGAGAGTATTCAAACCCTTGCCATTATATCCCATTATAGGCATCTTTAGCATTGGCCTATAGGTGTTCAAAAACCAAAAAATTCAACCAAGGCGATGTTTGGCATTGATGCCGTTTTCTGAGAAAATGGCGCCACATCGGTGCCACATTAGAAAAAGTTCTTCAAAAAATGGCCTTTTATTTGGCATCGTTTTTTGAGAAAAAACATTGCTCTAGACCACACCTTGAAAATATGGAAAGTGTGGTCTAAAGAAAAGCCAAATTCAATGTTTTCTTAGAAAACAGCCCGTGCAATGACGTGACATTTCACGTCAATGTGGCATCAATGTGACATCATCTTAAGCGTTGGATAATATAGACCAATGCTGAAAACAGTTATACAACACTAGTACCAAACAAAACCAGTGTTGTTTTCCCAAAAAACAGCCTATGTGGCAACATTGATGCCAAACAAAAAATGAGTCATTTTCTGAGAAAATGGTGCAATAGATCCTCATGCATACAGCACCTTTTTCTCAGAAAACATCTCTGAAGCAACGATATCAATGCCAAAAACCTACCAAATCAAGGAAAACAAACCAAAAAATCCGATTAACCAAACTGATTAGTTCGATTTTGGTTTGGTATTTTTTTAAAAGCTGAAGGCACCAATTTGATTTTTGGATAACCTATAAGAAAAACCGGTCGTTAATCAATCCAACCAGTATAAATAATTTTATAATATTATATTACAAATATAAAAAAACTGAAAATAGAACCAATCAATTAACCGATTGATTCAGTTTGGTTTTGATTTTGGAACAATGCAAAAACCAAAGGGCCTGTTCGGTTTAAAAAATATGCCCACAATTTCGTTAAACCCCTATTGGCCTACCACACCATTTCTACTTGATACTTTAAGAGGGCTATCACATTTTACTTGTGTGATGTAAAACCGGGTGCAAGGTTCTAAGTATCAAAAAATGCAAAAAATATTGAACATGCAATTTAAAGAAACATATCTATACACTTAGGATATGCATGGATATGACAAAAAAAAAAAAGATACACATGGGTACAGATCTAATAACTCAACTATATAAAATCTACAACTCTAATAATTCTATACATAAGAAAATGTATAAAGTGTAATTTTACCATAAAAAAGGTAAGTGTAAATTATCAAAATATCCCAAGGAAACGTTGCCTATGCATAATTTAACAAACTAATATTATAAATCTCATTAATGATCATGTAAAAAGTTAAAAATTTTAAATAAACTAAGTTTAATAAATAATTGTAATATGTCATAATAAAAATATTTCGTCCAAAAAAATCTCTTAAGGCTCAGTTTGGAAGGAGTACAAATACAAATTTATAAAGTACAAAATCTTATATTTTGTATGTATTTGCACTATATATATTTGTATTTGTACTCCTTCCAAACTGAGCATAAATAGATAATTGAAATTATAGAGGCAAAAACATTTAGAGATGATTGATTATGGCCCGAACCCGAGTATTTGTAGATATAATATGGTTGCTTTTCATTGCTAATTTAATAAGATATCATGCAATGGTCTAATGGTTAGAATAAGATTCAAGTAAGCAACCTAGGTTCAAATCCTTCTAACATCTTAGTTTTATAGAGGACTGATTTAAGGTAGACTTGAATGGAAATAACTAAGCCAAATGATAATCGTATGAGACGGGTTTAATAGATTTGGGAAAGGACGAATTTTGAAATTTGGGAGGAAAAATTAAAGGGTTTCTAGCATACAAGGGCAACTTTTGGGATTTAATATCAATAAAAGTAATATATTTAAAAAAAAACAAAAATAAGTTAACTTTTTAAAAATAATATCAATAAAGGGCAAAAATACTGTTCATCTTCTTCTTCTTGCCACTAGAGCCGCTATCCACCGTCCGTCGTCTCCGCCTCCGGCAACGTTGCCGGTGGTGGCTGGAGGCAGAGGTGGTGGCGGCAGGGCTGGTGGTTTCTCTGTCCAACGCCGCCACCTCCACCCACCTCCACCTCCGCCTCCGACAACATTGCCGGAGATGGGTGGAGACAGGTGGCGCGGCAACTGGCAGAGGAATGACCGCCACCTCTGCCTATTTGGGGTTTATTGATATTAAACATCAAAAGTTGCCCTTATATGCTATTACCCCAAAATTAAATGGGTTTGGGATCAAGGGTACTTCAACGTGTTTGGGAATGGGATGGGCAATTTTCATGAGTACCCTACTCATTGACCGTTGCCATCCCTACTTTTCAGCATTTTGTATTTTGTAATAAAAAAAAGTTATTGATTAATTGCCTTTAGTTCATCTTTTTATATCAAATATAGGGGTTCGGAAAAACTTACAACTACTCAACTAGGATCATAAAGGTGGTAACCAACAAGTAGGTTTTCATCAAAATTCATTGAGAGTTATGATTGGTTGAAGCCTTTCAAGAACCATGTCTTTCCGGAATCATAGATTTTCCCCTCGTATAAATGAGTTTTGTAAAATTCCCATAAATAGGCAAAGTTAAAATTGATTTTTTCTTAATTTTCAACCATTTCCGACGAAAGATAAATAAAATAAACAATAATTATCTTATAACTAAACCGAGTGGAAGGTGTTTAAGTAGGGGTGTAAACGGTATTCGAGTATCCAATTTCGAATTCGATATCCGATGTAAACGAATCAAATTCAGATTATTCGATTAATTTAATGGTCGAATTCAAATTAAGAATAAATACCGATTAATTTATCAAATCAAATTCAAATATAAGTTGATCCGATTCAATAAATATTCAAATTCGATTAAATATAAATATAATATATATTATAATATAAAATAGATATAAATATATTATAATATAAGATTTGGTGTCATATACATTAAATACTAAGGTGTAAGAGTATTATCAAGACAATTAAAGATGTACAACCCTTTCAGAAAACTAACATAAACCAATAAATGATTCAACATTCAATTGATTTTTATATTATTTTTTTCATCGAGACATGCATAATCCCTCTGTCTTCATCGAACCTCTCCCCACAGTCCATTTATTTTCACTGTTTCACAAGACTTTTCTTCTCCTCTTCTCCTAACCCGCAACCTTTCACTTTTACTAACTTTTCTTCTCCCCATCTTCTAACCTGCAACTATGTTTCTCCCCATGTCCGTCTCATCTCCCTCTCCCTTGGTCGTAGTCGTGTTATCATTTTATATTTTTACTATTTTAAATTTGCAATCATAGATTCAGAGGTAGAAGAGAAAAAAAAAAGAAAAGAGCACCGGATTTCGTCAAAGACAAATGAGTTTCATGGCGTTCTTCTAACTTCTTCCATTCAAATATCAACTTTCTCTATTACTTCTTTATATATCTTTTTTATTTTTTTCTTCTTATTCTAGTCTTTTAAGGCTTTTTCTATTTTACTCATAGGCCACAGCAAAGGGGTTTCTTCTTGCGTAATCTAATTTCTAGATTTAGGATTTTTAATATTTATAGAATCACTCAAATTCGAATCGATTTGGATATTCGATATTTTAATCGAAATCGAATTCGGTTGGAATTTCTGAATATCCGATCGATTTCGAATTGAATTCGAATCAATTATTTTGTAATCGGAATCGAATTCGAACATGGCCTGATTCGATTCGAATTCACTCTGTTTAGAAGCCTATGTTTAAGGGTATAGATCCATGGTTTTTTATTCCAAAAGTACCCCTAACTTTTTTGTATAAAAAACAAAATTGATCAAATAGAAAAAAATATAATGATCGTCCCTGTTTTACTAGGGCAAAATGGCACTTTTGTTTTTAGTTTCTTTTAATTAATTTATTTGAATGGATGTGAGGGTTAAGACTGCCATTTCCACTTTTACCCTACATGTAATATCACCATCACCTCTTCCCATTTTAGGATGCCTATCATGCCTTAATGAAGTTATTATGTAATATCTAATCTGCCAAGTACGTCTATTTATAGGGAGTTTAAATCCGCTGACTACAACACCGCAGTCGCACATTGGAAGCATCTCCCATTAATGAAGATATATGGAGTATGTGGCAATGATTCTGCGGTCAGCGATGTGTTGTGATCAGCAGATCCGGGCTCATTTATGGGTCATAAAATATTAGATGAGTGTGAGTTTATTCGGTTTATGTTTTCTAGTGAACAGTTTAAATGATTTGATCGGATTACAGTTGATCCCTCGTGAGAGATCGGATCTGCTCCTCACAAATTGCGTCTCACACCAATCTCATAGCTCATCGCAGCCGTGCGTTGAGAACATCTCCCGTACACGATGTTATCATTCATGGAAAGATGTTCCGAACGCACAGCTGCGATGCACAGTGAGGATGGTGCTAGAGCAGGTCAGAACTTCCGCCAACTGTGTTACCCATGCTGTTGCTAAAGCAGGTCGGAATCCGTCCTTTCAATTTAACGAGGCGCTACCTCTTCGGTGATCAAGTGCTCTGTGTTCAGAATCAGAAGGCCCTTTTTAAGTCTGCAAAGAGACCTCTGGTTTTTCTCGTCTGTAGTGTTTTTCTGTTGCTGTTTATTTTTTTCTTTGGTGCTGTCATGCTGTGTGGTGTTTTTTGTATTGTTTCCTGTGTTGCTTGATGAATGTTTTTTCCACCAAAAAAATTACAGGAAACAAGGGGGTCAATAGAGTGCAGTGTTCAACAAAATTCTCATAATCAATCATTTGACTTGATATCAAGGGGTCAATGGGTCAGGCGTTGGAAAATGTGTGTTTTGCCACATTAGGAAAAATATAGTTAAATGGAACTAGTCTATTTGAAGTTGAGAAGAAATCTGGTAATAACTTGGGCACGGCGACGCATACTAGGAAGTAGAGATCTGTTTTAAACTTTTGATCAATAGTCTTCAATGGGAAATAGGTACAGGAGATGATCAATTTCTGAACTGACAATTGGATCTCTAGAGAACCTCCACTGACATGAATCCAACCCTAAAACAGGGGGGTGGGCCGGTGGGGGTATCAATCTAGATCTCAAAGTAAATGAAGTAATTGACCCTCCACAAAACCACGGAGATTATAGGCTGTAGAACATCGGTTCCTACAAAATATAATTAATGAAATCAAAGCTAATGCCAATTACCGTATCTGAGAAGATTGATATGGTGGGGTGCTGATATGAAGGGCAAATTTACAATAAAATCAGCTAACCAAGTAGCAGTTAGTTCTTCCGAACAGAATGATAGAAGTAAATTCACTAAAAAATATGGAGTCTCAAATGTTATCTAAAATACAGATTTTCTTGTGGCAACTAATAACCAAAAAATTCCAAATCAAAGAAATGAGATCAAGGCACAAACATTGACCCAGAATGCAAAATAATATGTGGAGATATTGAAGATGCCCATATATTTATAAAATGCATGATAGGAAGATATGTTTGGAAGGCAGTGAGCTTGAGTTTCCCAGGCCCTAGAGAATCTGGCAATGGAATAATTGATTGGTGGAGCATGAAGAATGATGAACACGTTCAGAGAAGTATGATTGACTGCTAAGAATGAGCATCCTTCTTGCTATGGGGATTATGACAAGGAATGAGACGTACTCTTTTTTTTTAATCAAATAAGATTACCTTGAGAACAAACTAATCCAGACTCCAATAATAATTCAATATAGCAAAGCAAATGTTGACTAGATTTAGTGAATACACAAGTGCGAATGATTATAGGGTCAATGGAAATAAGCAAATGCTGATCAAATGAAAGCCACGAAAAAAAAAAAAAACTCGTGACCTAAAAATCAACTTTGATGCTTCAATAAACATGTGCATCAGTAGAGATCAACAAGGTATATAGACACATTCAACAGAATTTACAGGAGTAACATCAATTGATGTGGTTGAAGCTTGGGCATTGGGAGAAGCATATATGATGGCAAAGAGACCAATAACAATAACATTGTGATGATGTCTGTTGGAAAGATTATTTCCCCTTAGAATTTAGAGAACCTTACTAGTGACTGTCATGACATGGTACACAATCAAGGATTCCAAGTTAGCTACAACCACATCTTTAGGGAAGTCAATCAAAGGACTGACTGATTCTCTAAAGCTACAACCAAGTTTTTTTTTTTTTTTGATAAAAAATCTGCCCCCAAGTTTATGTAGCCCTTCTTTCTAAATGAAATTTAAAAAAAAATAGAACTGGTTGAAGGATGTTGTAGAAACCTCTTACCTTTTGCACTATTTTGGGGCATGTACATGGAAAGAAATATGCAGATATTTTGACACGAACAGTACATCCATGGAGGATTACTTGGGAGAAGAGATTGTTGATACAATGGAGTCTGTTCCAATCAACAAAGCAGTGGGCAAAGAGGAGAGAAGGAGAAGAGAAGGGGAGAAGAGAGAAAACTCAAACTCATACTGGCGGCGCCAGTATTTTTATTATATATACTAGGGTGACCGTACAACTTAAAGAGGAAGAAAAAGACCAAAATGCCCCTTGTGGCCTACACCAAATATTACATCACTCCCCCTCAAGTTGGGGCATAGATGTCAATCATCCCTAACTTGTCTCATAGATCATAATGGCGCAAGGAATTCAATCCCTTAGTAAAGACATCTGCAAGTTGTTCCTTTGAGCTGATGTAAGGGGTGCAAACTTCTCCTTTCTCAAGCTTCTCTCTGATAAAATGCTTATCAATTTCAATATGCTTGGTTCTATCATAGAGAACTGGATTTGCAACAATGTTGATAGCTGCTTTGTTGTCACAATAGAGTGACATAGGGTCTTTAGCTTGGAAACCCAATTCACTTAAAAGGTCTTGATCCACAGTAGCTCTGCAACTCCATGTGACATGAGCTTATATTTTGCCTTTGCATTGGATCGGGCAGCCACACTGTTTCCTACTCTTCCAAGTAACAACATTTCCCCCAACAAAGGTACAGTAACCACTCGTGGATTTCCTGTCATCTATCGAGCCAACCCAATCAACATCAATGTAAATCTCAACTTTCATATGCCCATGTTTCTTGAACAATAGGCCTGTCCCTGGGAATTTCTTCAGATATCTTAGTACCCTGTCTACCGCTTCCAGATGTGCTACCTTAGGAGCATGCATAAACTGGCTGAGAACCCCCACAGCATATGCTATGTCAGGCCTAGTCATGGATAAATAGAGCAGTCTCCCCACAAGCCTTTGGTACTGCTTTGGATCCTCCAAAAGTTCACCACCACAGTCCCCAAGTTTATGATTCACATCTATAGGAGTGTCGGCAGGTTTGGCACCAAGTTTTCCTGTATCTTTCAGGAGATCTAGGGTGTACTTCCTTTGAGAGATGAAGATGCCCTGTTGGGAGCGAGCCACTTCAATTCCAAGGAAGTAGCGCAATGGACCTAGATCCTTCACCTCAAACTGTGTAGCTAGGAACCTTTTTAACCTTTGTATCTCTGAGACCTAGTCACCGGTAATGACAATATCATCCACAAACTATTTTCCCTTGTTCCTTCTTCACAAAGAGCGTGTGATCAGATTGGCATTGCCTAAACCTCATTTGTTGAACTACCTGATGAAATCTGCTAAACCAAGCCCTTGGTGATTGTTTTAGGTCGTATAAGGACTTCTTTAATTTGAACACTTTTTGCTCTTTACCCTTAGTTCAAAAACCAGGAGGTTTAGTTATGTATACTTCCTCTTCCAAATCCCCATTCAAGAAGGCATTTTTAATGTCTAGTTGATGAAGCTCCCAATCAAGGTTTGCCGCCAAAGAGATAAGAACCCGAATAGAATTCATTTTTCTACAGGCACAAAAGTCTCAACATACTCAACACCATACACTTGTGTAAAACCCTTTGCAACCAATCTAGCCTTGTATCTCTCAACTGTGCCATTTGCCTTGTGTTTTACAGAGAACACCCCATTTGCACCCTACAGGTTCCTTTCCCTCGGGAAGATCCACTAGCTCCCATGTGCCGTTTTTGTGGAGGGCATTGATWTCTTCCTTCATAGCCTCTGTCCACTTAAGAGAAAGGAGAGCATCTGTGACACTTTTAGAAACTGCGACATTATCAATTTTAGATAGAAAAGCACAAAATGAAGGTGAGACATTTTCAAAGGATAAGAATTGAGCCATAGGATGGTGTGTAGTGCATGATCTAACCCCCTACATTTTTGCAATAGGAAGGTCTAGATCACAATTTGAAGTGTCAATGTCAATGGGTTCAAGAGTTTCAATAAGAATAACAGTACTTGGGTGAGGGCATTGATTCAGTTCCTGGGAGTCCAAAGGCATTGTTGTGTAGTCTCAGGCTGTCCCTTGACTATTGAACTCTGTTGGCCTTGACTTTTATAACGTTGTCTCCAAAAAACACGAAATGGAGGAGGGTCAGGTGGGGAAGGCAACAAGACTGGAGTCTGTTTCTGTTTCTCCTCACCAAGATTCTCCCCCTGAGGGAAAACAGAAAAGGGAACATTTTCAAAGAATGAGACACCCATAGAGACAAAATATTTCCTTGAGACTGGATCAAAACAACGATAACCATTTTGAGAAAGGGGATATCCAAGAAAAACACACTATTGAGGGCCCGGGAATAGGATCTCGTCATAGGTCGGTCCACGGGGAAAACCTCATGTTTTCCCTAGTTCCTTCCTGCTTGTGATGAACCTATCTTGGCACCTTCGGTGATTTGTCCAAGAGATCACCAACTCTCCTAACTCACTCTTGACTGAATAATTTGATATCTCATTCMATAATGGDGTYTCCTTAAATAGGAGATTACAAGAGTCCTAATCAAAGGGAGTCTCCTTGCTGAATAGGGAGACTTCCAGTT